AAGGAAAAAAAGAAGGAAGGAAGGAAGGAAGAGTTACGGAGGATTTATACTTTATACAAATTAGAGCCCTTCCTGGTCTACATAAAGAGTTCCAGGCCAGCCAAGGCTATAGAAGGTGGGAGGGAGAAGGAGAAAGAAGAGGAGGGAGGAGGGAGTCACAGAAGACAGCTAGTGTTGTCTCCATTTAACAGATTAAAAAAAAAATCATAGCTATGATTTAATGAATAGCTGCTGAGTTACGCAGTGTGCTAAGTACAGACTTTGAAAACAAAATATTTTTCTTCCTATTTAATAGCTGAAGAACATAAAGGTAGCAAATGAAAAATGAATGGGTTCCCAAGACAGCGTTCTCTTCCACTGCCACACAGGACACTGGGAAACAAAGGCCTGAAAAAGATGTTCTTGGGCCATCAAGATGGACCAGAAGGTACGTATGCTTGTCCCCATCTTCTCCCAAAGACTGACAACTAGAATTCCATACTGGGTGCTGTGGTAGAAGGAGAGAACCAACTTCCACTAGCTATCTACCGACCTAAACACACACACACACACACACACACACACACACACACACACACTATAAACACTATTATGTTGTCTAGTCTTATGTCCATTTGACACACAAACTAGAGTTATCTAAAAGGAGAGGCCCACAATTGAGAAAAATGTCTTAATTAGCATTTTCTTAATTAGTGATTGATAGAGGAGGGCATAGCCCTTTATGGGAGGAGCCATCTCTGGGCTGGTGGTCCTGGGTTCTATAAGAAAGCAGGCCGAGGGAGCCATGAGGAGCAAGCCAGTAAGCAGCACCCCTTCATGGCCTCAGCATCAGCTCTTGCCTCCAGGTTCCTGCCCTGTTTGAGTTCCTTTGATGAAGAACTGTGATATTGAAGCATAAGCCAAATAAACCTTTTCCTCCCCAAATTTGGTTATGGTGTTTCATCATAGCAATCGTAACCCTAACTAAGACACACAATAATAAAATAAAAATGTTGAAATACCTTAAAAATGAATAAGTAATAAATGAAAAGTTTGTCTTCCTTCAGTATCACCACTAAGTGGCAAGAGGCTGGTCATTGTTTTTAGTGGCCATGCTAGCAACTGACTGGCCTTGTTTCTGCTTGCCAGTGCAGTGAGCCTCTTTGATTCAAGATTCTGTGGCCCAAGCATGTAATGGCTTAAGCACCCTAAGGCATTAGCCTAGAGACCCACTGAGAAAACACCATGCAGAATTTTGGTTGAACTTCTGTGTCAGATATCATACACAACACCCTGCCTTCCTCTCAAACCATCAATCAGACACAGGGTGCTCCCACAGCCACACTGGCCTCTCTCAGACTTCCAGGTCACCATCTCTACTTTATCTCCACATATACTATTTGGATCCCCCACAGTGCTGGTTCCTTCCCTTCATTACCAAGCTAATACCCTTCAAATCTCAACTGAAGTGGTACTTGCTCAAACAAGACCCAATTACGCCCACTTTTCCTTAAGTCCACTCTTACAGCACCATTAGTGCTGGGATTATTTCATGTTTCCCTCACCAGACTGCCAGCTCCATGAAGGCAAGAATCTTGTCTAGTTTTACTCAGCATGTTACTCACTTCTCCTAAGACACAGAGTGACGTGTATACTGTCAATATGTCATATACTGTCAATATGTCTTAAGTGGGTGGAAAACACAGCAGTTTCTGGAAGCACGGAAGTTTAGTTCTGTAAGATTCTTTCTAGTCCGTAAGCTCTATGAAACCAAAATCAATGTCTGTGCCATTCATTCATCACCTTACCCATAGTGCTTAGCTTCTGCCTAGTCTCTGGTCATCACCCACTATGTATTCATTGAATTGGAGAATGAAAAGATGTTTTACCTTCTGTAAGAATCAGATTTTCTTCCTATGTACTTTTTCCAAAGTCTAGACCCTCTATCATCTTTGGAAGGAGAATTCCCAAAGTCAACAACTATACCTGCTACAATAGATGAAGATATATCAATATATTTCAATATATCAAGATATGGGTGGTTCTGCTATCTTGTGATGGGGGGCATAGAGCTTGGTGTGCTGGCTACTTTTATGTCAACTTGAAACAAGATGGAGTCCACTTAGAAGAGGAAGCCTCAATTGAGAAAATGTCACCATCAGAATGTTCCAGGCAGAGGAAAACGAGCAACACCGAGAAAGGCTATGGCTAAAACAAAATGAACTAGGAAGGCATTGGAAGAGGTTAGATGAGAACAGGAGTCAGGGGCCAGCATATGGAGCGACACATCTCCCCACCTCACCTCACCACCCCATCCCATCCCACCCCACTCCCCACCCCACCCCCACTTCAGCAAGAACTCGGGAGAAGTTTGAGACAGAGCAGCACAAAAACCACTTCTAGAACAGTTGTCCAGTCATACGCCAAGGCCCCAGGCTCAACCTTGAGATAACTAAGCAAAAAATAAACCCTGAACCCAGATTTAGGCTCCCCATACCTGGTCCTTTACACAAAGCCTTATATATCTTATACAGTATATGCTTATACACCCTTATATAACTTATACAACATGTACCTTATACACCCTTATATAGCTTATACAGTGTATACCTTATATACCCTTATACAGCTTATACACCCTTATACAACTTATACAGTATACACCCTGTATACCCTTATACAGCTTATAAAGTATACACCTTCTGTGTATATGTTTGTCTTATTGGTTGATGAATAAAATACTGTTGGCCAATAGGGAAGCTAGTCAGGCAGGACTAGGAGACGAGGAGGATTCTGGGAAATGTAGTAAAGAGAAGTCTTGTGATTCAGGCAGGAAGTGACATAGCAGGCAGACTCAGAATATAAGCAGGGACAAGCAGGAAATCACTCTCTTCCTCTTCTTCCTCCTCTCTGTAGAGCCGCCATGTGATTGCTGGCAAGAGAGGGTGCATATGGCCCGCATCCTCAATAAGATAAGTTCTTATAAAATATAAAGATTAGTAGTTATGGTTGATAATTAAGACTGCGTTAGCATGTAAAAATCCTAGTCATTGGCCAGCAGCATTTTAATTAATATATGATTGTGTGTGTTATTTCGGGCGCCCATGTGGTGGTGGGGCTGGGGTGGCTTGACGGAAAGATTTATCATTACATATACCTTATATACCCTTATACAGCTTATACAGTATATACCTTATATACCCTTATACAGCTTATACAGTATATACCCTTATACAGCTTATGCAATGTATACCTTATATACCCTATTCAGCTTATACAGTATATACTTTATATACCCTTATACAGCTTATGCAGTGTATACACTATACACCCTTATACAGCTTTGCTGAACACATTGGGCGAGCCTGCAGTCGACAGCTTTGACTTTCATAAAATCTGGCCTTTGGAGTACCAGAGGCTACTTTGACCTGTAGCTTTATTTGTGTGGAAAGAAGACTATGGTGAGTTAAAATGCATACTCTAGTTCCCACATACTAAATTGATGATGGGGATAAAATGGACTTGAAAGATTTCCTGGCCCAATCTGATAGGCTGTTGATCACTAGGGCTGAGTCAGTTCATCTTACTTGACATACAATTAAGCTTTTCTTCCGTGTCCTTATGAGCAGTTGCAAAAGACAAAAACAGATGCCAAAGCAAGAAAACTGTGTGAGTGGGAACAGGCTGAGCAACAAGCCAAGCTAGGAATCCCAAATGCAAACAAGAGTCTGACTGTCCACTGCTGAGGGGTGGCTGAAGTTTGTCTGGTGTGTTCACTGTCACTGTATAGTGGATTTGAGTCTCTGCTTTGTTGCATGTATCCCAGGTGGTCTCAAACTAGCTAACAATGACCTTGGCTCCGATCCCCCTATCTCTACATCCCAAAATGATTGTGCATGTGCCATCATGCCTGTTTATGTAACACTGGGGATCAAACCTGAGGCTGTATGCCTTATATGCAGGCATTCTACCAACTGAGTCATAGCCCCAGCCCAGCAACTTTATAAATGAGGCAGAGTTATGTGGAAATGACTTTAGATAAATAAGAAAGGAGACAGATCAAGTGATAAATAAATGAATATAAGTGCAATGCAATCATTACAGCTTAAAATGGACAGAGGTTCCAATCAAAACAGAAATGTCAGACAACAGAAACATTACATAACATATTGATTTCACAAAATTAAAAACTTGCATACATACAATGCACACATACACACACACATACACACACACACACACACACAGAGAGAGAGAGAGAGAGAGAGAGAGAAAGAGAGAGAGAGAGAATAAAAGAGAGTCTGGGGAGATGGCTGAAAACCTGCATTTAACCCTACAGAACCCACCAAAAGGCAGGCACAGAGTGGCCTATGACCCCTGTGGTGGGGAGACAGAGAAAGCGAACTCAGTGGGGCTTGCTGGCACTAGCTGAGCCTTCAGTGAGCTCTTAATGCATTATGAGACACTGTGTGAAAAAGAAAGGTATACACTCCTGGCCACACACAAATGAACATATATATACGTGCCAATAAGGAAGAAAAGAGAAAATAAATGGCAAGTGACTGAAGACTAGATAGTTGTAGTTACAGTTTTCCTTGTTTACCAGTGTATAAGGTAGAGAGATATCAAAAGATAGTTTTGGATGTTAATGCAAGTTAGGATAGAAAATAGGTACAACACTCTGGATTCACCAAGATAGGATAGATATGTAGTACTTTCTCTGAATTTGTCAAATGCAAATGGACCAGGCACTGTTGATATATTTATTGCCTATATATTATGTATAGTTATTGTATTTATTGTATATAGTCTTTCTTATATTAATTATAACCTTTTTATTTTAGACAAAAAAGGGAAAACATAGTGATATTTTGTTTATGATCTAACAAATAAAGCTTGCCTGAAGATCAGAGTGCAAAGCTAGCCACACTAGTCAGCCATACAGGTCAGGCAGTGAAGGTGGAGTTTAAATGAGTTCACCATACCCAAGATAAAAGATAAATAGGTGTTTTTATTGGGGAGAAACTTACACAGATAAGAGTAAATAACCACCTCGGCCTTCCTGCTCGAGATAATTCATTCTGCCCTTCCGATGCTCTCTGCAACCCAAGAGAGAGTGCCCCATCCCTCTGCTTCTACCTTAAAGCTGTCAGGGTGTGGCCATTGCTACAAGTACACTGACAAGGCAAGATGCCACTACAAAGCAGTGGTGGCACACACCTTTAATTCCATCACTCAGGAGACAGAGGCAGACAGATCTTTGTTAGTTCAAGGCCACTCTGAACTACATGAAGGTGATCTAGCCTAAGAGAGAAACAGAGCTCACACAAAGGTGATCCCAGCACTAGGGAGGAATATAAGAGCTCAGCAAAGTCTAAGGTTTGGTGGAGACAGATGCAGTCTGGAGATGCAGTCTGAGGATAGGATCACCCCTTTGGTCTGAGCATTGGTAGAGGTGAAAACTCTGTAGTGCTGGCTTCTTTGCTTCTCTGATCTTCAGCTTGAACCCCAATATCTGTCTCTGAGTTTTTATTATTAATATCAAGTGACCCAACACTGGAACAGACTTTACAAGTATGAAACCCAAAGTAAGGATCATGTGTCTTATTTGTATGTGTTGTGCGTTTGCAGATCAGTAAGAAATATGTAAATAAATATGTATGTACTGTTCATTCTTAGTATCAAAGGAGTAGATGTAGATATGTAACTTATATTGTGAAGATTATTTTTAAATGACAGGCACTTCTTACAAGTTTAATTAATAGAACGTATATGATGCTGGTAGGATATATGTTGAATAACTCTCCTGTAAATCAATTATTTAAGGTGTACCAGGAGCCTTAAAAGAACTCACAGTTTCATGTAGTGGTTTCACACATAAAGATCTGTCAAAAATGTTCTTTTTAAAAAGACATGAATTGTGCAAGTGGTTTATGTCTATAATCCCAATATGGGAGGGTTACCATGATCCTTCTTACGAGTTTCAGGCCAGCCTGGGCTACAGAGTGAAATCCTGTCTCAAAGGAAAAAAGAGAGAGAGGAAGGGAGGGAGGGAGGGAGAGAAAGCAGGAATGAGCCCAGTACTGCAAAACATTTAAAATAGAAAGGTTATTTTAGCATATATAAGAGAGAAGAAAGGTCAAATAAATCACTGTATGTTCAGCGTTTGGAACACATAGATTTAACACAGCATTGCTGAGTCAGCCTCATGTTGTGACAGGATGCTCACATCACAAGCACCAAGACAGAAAGAGTAGACATCAGAACAGCCATGTGTGCTAGCAGACACACACACTTGCAATAGACAGTGTATTGTTGGTGATTTTTCCTTCTCTATTTTCCACCTTTTGTGTCTCGAGTTCAGTGTTCAGAGGCATGTGTGTGAAGAACTGTCATCTTAATTCTCAGGAAGACAGTTTATAATTAATTAATGCATGGATTCGATCCAATAAGGCAATAAAAATATAAAAAAGCTAACTTTGGCTGGAAGTCTTCAAGCACTTCTATTCTTCCTTCCTTCCTTCTGTCTTTCCTTCCCCTTCCTTCCTTCCTTCCTCTCTTTCTTTCTTTCTTTCTTTCTTTCTTTCTTTCTCTTTCTTTCTTTCTTCCTTTCTTCCCTTCTTCCACTTTGCTTTCTTCTTCTACTGTTGTTTAAGTAAGATAGGGTCTTGGCATGTAACCCAGGCTTCACGGCAATCTTCCTCCCTCTGGCTACTGAAGCTGGAATTACAGATGGGCAACACTTCACCCAGCCTTCTTCCTTTTTTTTCTGTCCTTTTCTTGTTTTCTCTGGTAGTGTTAGGGATCAAACCCAAGATCCCACATGCCAAGTAAGTGCTCCACAGCTAAGATAAGTCTTGAGGTCCAGGCACTTTTTTAAACCAAAAAGTTTGAAATTTTAATAATTAATTACTGAACCAATAAAATAGTATGAAGGAATTTTCACTTCTTTAGATTCTGCCTTTGGCCTGAGAGAATTGGTACTTTTAAATGCCTCTGGCTTCTAGGTTTTCTCTTCCATCCTTTGTAGCCTATTAGAAAAGAACCCAGCAAACTAAATGTCTTTGGGCATTTATTTGAGGGTCACACTTCGGTGCTTATTTGTATTTTTCCACTGGGCTTACGGGAGCAGATGACTTGGTACCAAGAGTGTGTGACTCAGCAGTTTGGAGGCTGGCAACACTGACTTAACTGAATTTGCTCCATGTTGAAAATGGGCCGTTCAAGTCTACTTAAATATTCATGAAGTGTGTGCTTGCCAGAGCTTAGCACATCTACCCAGGCTTGTCCAAAATGCCAGCCTTCCCCATAATCTCACTTGGCCTGTGAGTGGTGACCTTCTCTGGGTCCTTGCTGGCCCAAAATAGCCTCTGCAGCTGCTGCATGCCCTAGATGCTCCCCAGAGGAAGGATACCACAGTGGATCTTGCATGAAAGTATGACCAATCTCTCCAAGTGAGACAACAGACGCAGTAACCAGAGACTTACCTGGTAGCTTCCTGAGTCTCACTCACTTAGTGCTTCAGATTCTATGGGAGTGAGGGGTGGGGTGGGGTGGGATATGATTCCTTCAGACTGTGATACCTGCTTAGGCCAAAATGGTCAGGCATGGCGTCCCCAAGGGTCTTCCAGGACTGGGCCACATGTCCAGCAGTGTGTGGGGACTGACTGTGCTGGAACCCAGGCCAGATGGCCCTCATTGTACTTCATGGACGTCAGGCCTACCATGCTGACTTCCTTCCTGCTCACCCTCCAAGCCTGTAGAACTTGGAGCACCTTGCCAACATGCTGTGCAAAACAGAGTCACTTAAACTACTTTCATGGCTTGCTATCACACTAAGCTGTAGAACTTCTGAGAATTAATTACCTCATCTACCTGTGCTACCATTTTCCCCACCTGAGAATTAAGGCTAATAGGATTTTCTAAGACCCTTGACCACACTCGTAGTAAAAGTTTATTATGTCTATTGCTACTCTTCTGGGGGAGGGGGTGGACCCTCATCTATGTGACGTTATGGAAATGAAAAGAGAATCTCTCTGCAGCCGCCTAGGTGGATGAGAAGAAACAGAAAGTGGAGTCTGGAGAGAGGGCCCAGGGTTTAAGAGCACTTGTTGCTCTTCCAGAGGATCCAAGTTCTGTTCTTAGCACCCACATTGGGCAGCTCACAACTGCCTGTAACCCCAGCTCCAAAGAATTGGACATCCTGTTCTGGCCTCCAGCACCAGGCATGAATATACACAAACATACACGAAAGCAAAACATCCATACACATAAAAGTTATTTTTAAACCGGAGGTTGCCTTTGCCTTTTTATGGCAACATGGCCTGCGTTTGTTGAAAGGGAACTTGTGACAAGAAAAGCTGCATGTGTAGCTTGACTCATTAAATGCTTCTAACAGCCTTGTTTAACCCTGCAGACATTTTCATATCCCTACAGGCACTCACGTCTTCATTACTGCCTT